TTACCTAACTACTATAACCACTACAACCACCACCGCCAGCAGCAGCAGTGCCGTCGCTCCTCACAGGCGGGGGGAGGGGGAGACGGAGTCCGCCTCGTGGCCACTCAGCCAGTGGGGGACATTCACTGTCTCCACTCAGCCAGTGGGGGACATTCACTGTCTCCACTCAGCCAGTGGGGACATTCACTGTCTCCACTCAGCCAGTGGGGACATTCACTGTCTCCACTCAGCCAGTGGGGGACATTCACTGTCTCCACTCAGCCAGTGGGGGACATTAACTGTCTCCACTCAGCCACTGGGGACATTCACTGTCTCCACTCAGCCAGTGGGGGACATTCACTGTCTCCACTCAGCCAGTGGGGGACATTCACTGTCTCCACTCAGCCAGTGGGGGACATTCACTGTCTCCACTCAGCCAGTGGGGACATTCACTGTCTCCACTCAGCCAGTGGGGACATTCACTGTCTCCACTCAGCCAGTGGGGGACATTCACTGTCTCCACTCAGCCACTGGGGAACATTCACTGTCTCCACTCAGCCAGTGGGGACATTCACTGTCTCCACTCAGCCAGTGGGGGACATTCACTGTCTCCACTCAGCCACTGGGGACATTCACTGTCTCCACTCAGCCAGTGGGGACATTCACTGTCTCCACTCAGCCAGTGGGGACATTCACTGTCTCCACTCAGCCACTGGGGACATTCACTGTCTCCACTCAGCCAGTGGGGACATTCACTGTCTCCACTCAGCCAGTGGGGACATTCACTGTCTCCACTCAGCCAGTGGGGACATTCACTGTCTCCACTCAGCCAGTGGGGAACATTCACTGTCTCCACTCAGCCAGTGGGGACATTCACTGTCTCCACTCAGCCAGTGGGGACATTCACTGTCGCCACTCAGCCAGTGGGGACATTCACTGTCTCCACTCAGCCAGTGGGGACATTCACTGTCTCCACTCAGCCAGTGGAGACATTCACTGTCTCCACTCAGCCACTGGGACATTCACTGTCTCCACTCAGCCAGTGGGGGACATTCACTGTCTCCACTCAGCCACTGGGGACATTCACTGTCTCCACTCAGCCAGTGGGGACATTCACTGTCTCCACTCAGCCAGTGGAGACATTCACTGTCTCCACTCAGCCACTGGGGACATTCACTGTCTCCACTCAGCCAGTGGGGACATTCACTGTCTCCACTCAGCCAGTGGAGACATTCACTGTCTCCACTCAGCCACTGGGGGACATTCACTGTCTCCACTCAGCCAGTGGGGACATTCACTGTCTCCACTCAGCCAGTGGGGACATTCACTGTCTCCACTCAGCCAGTGGGGACATTCACTGTCTCCACTCAGCCAGTGGGGACATTCACTGTCTCCACTCAGCCAGTGGGGAACATTCACTGTCTCCACTCAGCCAGTGGGGACATTCACTGTCTCCACTCAGCCAGTGGGGGACATTCACTGTCTCCACTCAGCCAGTGGGGACATTCACTGTCTCCACTCAGCCAGTGGGGACATTCACTGTCTCCACTCAGCCAGTGGGGACATTCACTGTCTCCACTCAGCCAGTGGGGGACATTCACTGTCTCCACTCAGCCAGTGGGGACATTCACTGTCTCCACTCAGCCAGTGGGGACATTCACTGTCTCTACTCAGCCACTGGGGGCATTCACTGTCTCCACTCAGCCAGTGGGGACATTCACTGTCTCCACTCAGCCAGTGGGGGCATTCACTGTCTCCACTCAGCCAGTGGGGACATTCACTGTCTCTACTCAGCCACTGGGGGCATTCACTGTCTCCACTCAGCCAGTGGGGACATTCACTGTCTCCACTCAGCCAGTGGGGGCATTCACTGTCTCCACTCAGCCAGTGGGGACATTCACTGTCTCTACTCAGCCACTGGGGACATTCACTGTCTCCACTCAGCCACTGGGGACATTCACTGTCTCCACTCAGCCACTGGGGACATTCACTGTCTCTACTCAGCCAGTGGGGGACATTCACTGTCTCCACTCAGCCAGTGGGGACATTCACTGTCACCACTCAGCCAGTGGGAACATTCACTGTCTCCACTCAGCCAGTGGGGACATTCACTGTCTCCACTCAGCCAGTGGAGACATTCACTGTCTCCACTCAGCCAGTGGGGACATTCACTGTCTCCACTCAGCCAGTGGAGACATTCACTGTCTCCACTCAGCCAGTGGGGGACATTCACTGTCTCCACTCAGCCACTGGGGACATTCACTGTCACCACTCAGCCAGTGGGAACATTCACTGTCTCCACTCAGCCAGTGGGGACATTCACTGTCTCCACTCAGCCAGTGGAGACATTCACTGTCTCCACTCAGCCAGTGGGGACATTCACTGTCTCCACTCAGCCAGTGGGGACATTCACTGTCTCCACTCAGCCAGTGGGGACATTCACTGTCTCCACTCAGCCAGTGGGGAACATTCACTGTCTCCACTCAGCCAGTGGGGACATTCACTGTCTCCACTCAGCCAGTGGGGACATTCACTGTCGCCACTCAGCCAGTGGGGACATTCACTGTCTCCACTCAGCCAGTGGAGACATTCACTGTCTCCACTCAGCCACTGGGACATTCACTGTCTCCACTCAGCCAGTGGGGGACATTCACTGTCTCCACTCAGCCACTGGGGACATTCACTGTCTCCACTCAGCCAGTGGGGACATTCACTGTCTCCACTCAGCCAGTGGAGACATTCACTGTCTCCACTCAGCCACTGGGGACATTCACTGTCTCCACTCAGCCAGTGGGGACATTCACTGTCTCCACTCAGCCAGTGGAGACATTCACTGTCTCCACTCAGCCACTGGGGGACATTCACTGTCTCCACTCAGCCAGTGGGGACATTCACTGTCTCCACTCAGCCAGTGGGGACATTCACTGTCTCCACTCAGCCAGTGGGGACATTCACTGTCTCCACTCAGCCAGTGGGGACATTCACTGTCTCCACTCAGCCAGTGGGGAACATTCACTGTCTCCACTCAGCCAGTGGGGACATTCACTGTCTCCACTCAGCCAGTGGGGGCATTCACTGTCTCCACTCAGCCAGTGGGGGACATTCACTGTCTCCACTCAGCCAGTGGGGACATTCACTGTCTCCACTCAGCCAGTGGGGACATTCACTGTCTCCACTCAGCCAGTGGGGACATTCACTGTCTCCACTCAGCCAGTGGGGGCATTCACTGTCTCCACTCAGCCAGTGGGGGACATTCACTGTCTCCACTCAGCCAGTGGGGACATTCACTGTCTCCACTCAGCCAGTGGGGACATTCACTGTCTCCACTCAGCCAGTGGGGACATTCACTGTCTCCACTCAGCCAGTGGGGACATTCACTGTCTCCACTCAGCCAGTGGGGGCATTCACTGTCTCCACTCAGCCAGTGGGGGACATTCACTGTCTCCACTCAGCCAGTGGGGACATTCACTGTCTCCACTCAGCCAGTGGGGACATTCACTGTCTCCACTCAGCCAGTGGGGACATTCACTGTCTCCACTCAGCCAGTGGGGGACATTCACTGTCTCCACTCAGCCAGTGGGGACATTCACTGTCTCCACTCAGCCAGTGGGGACATTCACTGTCTCTACTCAGCCACTGGGGGCATTCACTGTCTCCACTCAGCCAGTGGGGACATTCACTGTCTCCACTCAGCCAGTGGGGGCATTCACTGTCTCCACTCAGCCAGTGGGGACATTCACTGTCTCTACTCAGCCACTGGGGGCATTCACTGTCTCCACTCAGCCAGTGGGGACATTCACTGTCTCCACTCAGCCAGTGGGGGCATTCACTGTCTCCACTCAGCCAGTGGGGACATTCACTGTCTCTACTCAGCCACTGGGGACATTCACTGTCTCCACTCAGCCACTGGGGACATTCACTGTCTCCACTCAGCCACTGGGGACATTCACTGTCTCTACTCAGCCAGTGGGGGACATTCACTGTCTCCACTCAGCCAGTGGGGACATTCACTGTCACCACTCAGCCAGTGGGAACATTCACTGTCTCCACTCAGCCAGTGGGGACATTCACTGTCTCCACTCAGCCAGTGGAGACATTCACTGTCTCCACTCAGCCAGTGGGGACATTCACTGTCTCCACTCAGCCAGTGGAGACATTCACTGTCTCCACTCAGCCAGTGGGGGACATTCACTGTCTCCACTCAGCCACTGGGGACATTCACTGTCACCACTCAGCCAGTGGGAACATTCACTGTCTCCACTCAGCCAGTGGGGACATTCACTGTCTCCACTCAGCCAGTGGAGACATTCACTGTCTCCACTCAGCCAGTGGGGACATTCACTGTCTCCACTCAGCCAGTGGGGACATTCACTGTCTCCACTCAGCCACTGGGACATTCACTGTCTCCACTCAGCCAGTGGGAACATTCACTGTCTCCACTCAGCCAGTGGGGACATTCACTGTCTCCACTCAGCCACTGGGAACATTCACTGTCTCCACTCAGCCTGTGGGGACATTCACTGTCTCCACTCAGCCACTGGGACATTCACTGTCTCCACTCAGCCACTGTGGGACAACGTCTCTGTGGATTATTGGTGGCAGAATGTTCATCAGAACAAGGAGACAAGGGGACTGGTGTCAGTTTCAGTGTTCCGAGTGAGTAGTGACACACTGAGTCATGACACAGTGAGAATTGACACACAGTGAGTACTGACAGAGTATGGACACAGTAAGTAGTGACATGCAGTGAGCATTGACACATAGTGAGTACTGACAAAGAGTGATGATGCATAATAGGAGTTCAGATAAACTGAGGACTGACACAACACTGGTCAACACACTTTTTCTGGCATAAGGTATTTTGGGGTGCTGATTCCAAATCTGCCATCAGTTTTTGTCTATCACATCAGGTTTTTGAGATATCAAATATTGCATTTTCAATAAAAACAGCAAATGTATGCTCATATGAATAGCTAAACAGACATCCATACAATAATAAAATAAGATACAATATACAATAATAATGAAACAAACATTTAATGAGCCGTAGCACAAAGTTGTGAGTGACTGCATATCAATGTGCGTGAATGCATATTACCATATACGAATTGAATTGTGAAGATAAGAAAAATATGTACAAAAAGGTCATTCACAATAGTGATGTTACATCTGCATAAACGACCTCTTTGACGATCTCCGATGTACAGCTTGTGGAATGTCTCTCATCAAGGACCAGCAGTAATCTGCCATCATGTTTGAGTCCCATCGGCCTTGGTAACGTTCTTCCATAACTTTAATGTCTTGATGAAAGCGTTCACCTTGCTCTTCGCTCACGTGACCCATGTTCTCTGGAAACTGGGCCAAGTGACGATGTAAGTAGTGAACCTTGATGCTCATTCTACATCCAAGTGCTTGGAGACTCAAGAGCAGCTCCTCCACAATCTCTCGATAGTTGTCCGCTTTCCTGTTCCCAAGGAAATTCCGCACCACATCAGAGAATGCATTCCAAGCTCTAGCCTCTGCCGCAGTCATTGTTGTAACAAAGTGTGGATCCCTGATGAGTGTTCTTATTTGAGGGCCATCAAATATTCCTGCCTTTTTCTTCTCGGCATTGAGACTTGAAAAGGTTGAGCATATATAGCTGAAGCAGTCTCCAGTGTGATCAAGAGCTTTGACGAATTGCTTCATTAACCCAAGTTTTACGTGCAGTGGGGGAAATACAATTTTATTCCTATCAACCAGAGGCTCATTCTTGATGTTCTTGTCACCAGGCGTCAAACTGATTCTTGGTGGCCAGTTCTTTTGAACCCAGTGTTCTAATGTAGCCCTACTGTCCCAGTAGCACAGGAAACAAGGGTATTTGGTGTGACCTCCTTGCTGACCCAGCAGAAAATTTACCATTTTCAAATCAACACAAATTAGCCATCCATGAAAATGGTATTCCAATCTATCAAGAACAATCTTGATGTTGGCATACTCTTCATTCATTTTTACAGAGTGTCCTATTGGGATTGAACCATATATATTTCTGTTGTGAAGTAACACACATTTAAAACTCCTTTTACTACTGTCAATAAAAAGTCTCCATTCATTTGAATCATATGCGGGCAGTCCCATATCGAGAAGAACCCCTTCAACATCATTACAATAAGCAAGTTGACCATCTGAATGGAAGTACTTTCGCAGTGCTGCTTCTCTGTTACAATAAAAGGAGACACTAGTGCCAGGTCTGAGTAGTCCTTTCTCTTGCAGCCTGATAGCCAAAAATTCAGCAGACTGCTTTGGCAAATACAAATCTCTTACAAGATCATTCAATTCAGGCTGACTAAACAGAGAAATGTTATCACAATCTGCATCAGATGGCGTATATTCGATCTGAGCATCATCATCATCATCTGTAGAAGCAGGTAAACTGAGGGATTCAACATCAATCTCTGGTAGCTCAGTAAATACAGGCACAGGTATTTCCTCACAGTGCTCAACTGGTCGTCTGGCAGATGGGATATCTGGGTATTGTAAGTGTTGTTTGTTTTTCTTATTGAAACCTTTTACATTGACAAGGTAGAAGTAGCAGTTATCCAAATGGTTTGTAAGTTCTCTCCAAACCATTGGCACACCAAACTTCAGCTTAACATTCTTTCCTTTAGACCATGATCGCAAAGTTTCAACACAGGTTTTACACACTTTGTGAGGAGCCCAAATTTAGTCTTGGTCTCCAAGTCGTACTATAAAGTAGGCAAGATAAACCTTCTTGACAAAGGTATTGATGTTGCGCTATTGCTCCTGCAAAGTGAAGCTGCCACAGATGTAGCAGAAGATATCTGGGTCATTACTGCATTTCCTTCTTTCGGATGTTGTAGCCATTGTTAGATCACGCCCTGCAGAAGAAAAATATTAAATAAATGTGGATATCTACCAGAGGTGTGGACTCGAGTCATGTGACTTGGACTCGAGTCAGACTCGAGTCATGAATTTGATGACTTCAGACTCGACTTGGACTTGCATAACAATGACTTTGTCCCACCTCTGAGGTGTGGACTCGAGTCATGTGACTTGGACTCGAGTCAGACTCGAGTCATGAATTTGATGACTTCAGACTCGACTTGGACTTGCATAACAATGACTTTGTCCCACCTCTGATATCTACATACAATGATATTATAAACACACTATCCTAAACATACAGCACCATATTTTAACACAAAAGCAGTCACTAACTCGCAACAACTTGCAATCATAAGTGACAGAGTTAATTTCGGGTAAAATCAGTGAAAATGGGGTATGCCAATAGCATAATAATGAGATGTGATAGAGCAAATCTGAGATCAGATTTGAAATGAGCACCCTGAAATTAGTCTAAAACAGCTGCAAAAAGTCCAGGCCAGAAATGTTTTTGTTGACCAGTGTTATGAGAGTACAGATAGTCCCTGAGTTACGATGGTCTGACTTACGATATTAAGATCTTACGATCGCGATACGACAAAATTGTAAAATATTTTAAATTTCGCGTGACAGGCAAACGCAGCAGTGTACGATGAATCTTGGTGAGTACAGTACAATATGATACGTTACGATACGTTCAATGCATGTATGATACGTAGCTTTAGCGATTTCATTTTAGGGTTACCACGATACAATACGTTCAATGCATGTTAAAAGTTTTTATAGCAGATGGGATTGTTTCCTGAAAAAACTTTCTATTAAATTGCAGTTCATATAGGTGGGCTAAGAATTTACCTTGTTTTTTACTTTACATTTTACTGTGCAATACAGTATTGTAATTAATAAATACATACAGTATATAGTTTATACAGTACGGTACTGTAAAATGTTCTGTTTTGCTAAATTGTCACCATTTTTTAAGACTCCTGGGTAGGCTTGGCCATCTTCGACTTACGATATTTTTGACTTACGATGGGGTCGTCGTAACGCATCTCCATCGTAAGTAGAGGACTACCTGTACTGACACAATCTGAGTACTGACACGCAGTGAGAGCGCTGATACAGTGAGGGTAATGACACAAAGTGAGTACTGACACAGTGTGAGCGCTGATACAGTGTGAGTAATGACACACAGTGAGTGTAATGACACACAGTGAGTGTAATGACACACAGTGAGGGTGATGACACACAGCGAGGGTAATGACACACAGTGTGAGGGTAATGACACACAGTGAGGGTAATGACACACAGCGAGGGTGATGACACACAGTGAGGGTAATGACACACAGTGAGGGTAATGACACGCAGTGAGGGTGATGACACACAGTGAGGGTAATGACACGCAGTGAGGGTAATGACACGCAGTGAGGGAGATGACACACAGTGAGGGTGATGACACACAGTGAGAGTGATGACACACAGTGAGAGTAATGACACGCAGCGAGGGTAATGACACACAGTGAGGGTAATGACACACAGCGAGGGTGATGACACACAGTGAGGGTAATGACACACAGTGAGGGTAATGACACACAGTGAGAGTAATGACACACAGTGAGGGTAATGACACGCAGTGAGGGTGATGACACACAGCGAGGGTAATGACACACAGTGAGGGTAATGACACACAGTGAGAGTAATGACACACAGCGAGGGTAATGACACACAGTGAGGGTAATGACACACAGTGAGAGTAATGACACACAGTGAGGGTAATGACACGCAGTGAGGGTGATGACACACAGTGAGGGTAATGACACACAGTGAGGGTAATGACACACAGTGAGAGTAATGACACGCAGTGAGGGTGATGACACACAGTGAGGGTAATGACACACAGTGAGGGTAATGACACACAGTGAGAGTAATGACACACAGCGAGGGTAATGACACACAGTGAGAGTAATGACACGCAGTGAGGGTAATGACACACAGTGAGGGTAATGACACACAGTGAGAGTAATGACACACAGTGAGGGTAATGACACGCAGTGAGGGTGATGACACACAGTGAGGGTAATGACACACAGTGAGGGTAATGACACGCAGTGAGGGTAATGACACACAGTGAGGGTAATGACACACAGTGAGGGTAATGACACACAGCGAGGGTAATGACACACAGCGAGAGTAATGACACACAGCGAGGGTAATGACACACAGCGAGAGTAATGACACACAGTGAGGGTAATGACACGCAGTGAGGGTAATGACACACAGCGAGAGTAATGACACACAGTGAGGGTAATGACACACAGTGAGGGTAATGACACACAGTGAGGGTAATGACACGCAGTGAGGGTAATGACACACAGTGAGGGTAATGACACACAGTGAGGGTGATGACACACAGTGAGGGTAATGACACACAGTGAGGGTAATGACACGCAGTGAGGGTAATGACACACAGTGAGGGTAATGACACACAGTGAGGGTAATGACACACAGTGAGGGTAATGACACACAGTGAGGGTAATGACACACAGCGAGGGTAATGACACACAGTGAGGGTAATGACACACAGTGAGGGTAATGACACACAGTGAGGGTAATGACACACAGTGAGGGTAATGACACACAGTGAGGGTAATGACACACAGTGAGGGTAATGACACACAGTGAGGGTAATGACACACAGCGAGGGTAATGACACGCAGCGAGGGTAATGACACACAGTGAAGGTAATGACACACAGTGAGGGTAATGACACGCAGTGAGGGTAATGACACGCAGTGAGGGTAATGACACACAGTGAGGGTAATGACACACAGTGAGGGTAATGACACGCAGTGAGGGTAATGACACACAGTGAGGGTAATGACACACAGTGAGGGTGATGACACACAGCGAGGGTGATGACACACAGTGAGGGTAATGACACACAGTGAGGGTAATGACACGCAGTGAGGGTAATGACACGCAGTGAGGGTAATGACACACAGTGAGGGTAATGACACACAGCGAGGGTAATGACACACAGCGAGGGTAATGACACACAGTGAGGGTAATGACACGCAGTGAGGGTAATGACACACAGTGAGGGTAATGACACACAGTGAGGGTAATGACACACAGTGAGGGTAATGACACACAGTGAGGGTAATGACACACAGTGAGGGTAATGACACACAGTGAGGGTAATGACACGCAGTGAGGGTGATGACACGCAGTGAGGGTAATGACACACAGTGAGGGTGATGACACGCAGTGAGGGTAATGACACACAGTGAGAGTAATGACACACAGTGAGGGTAATGACACACAGTGAGGGTGATGACACGCAGTGAGGGTAATGACACACAGTGAGGGTGATGACACACAGTGAGGGTGATGACACGCAGTGAGGGTGATGACACACAGTGAGAGTAATGACACACAGTGAGGGTGATGACACGCAGTGAGGGTGATGACACGCAGTGAGGGTAATGACACACAGTGAGAGTAATGACACACAGTGAGGGTAATGACACACAGTGAGGGTAATGACACACAGTGAGAGTAATGACACACAGTGAGGGTAATGACACACAGTGAGGGTAATGACACACAGTGAGAGTAATGACACACAGTGAGGGTAATGACACACAGCGAGGGTGATGACACGCAGTGAGGGTGATGACACACAGTGAGGGTGATGACACGCAGTGAGGGTGATGACACACAGCGAGGGTAATGACACACAGTGAGGGTAATGACACACAGTGAGAGTAATGACACACAGCGAGGGTAATGACACACAGTGAGGGTAATGACACACAGCGAGAGTAATGACACACAGTGAGGGTAATGACACACAGTGAGGGTAATGACACACAGTGAGGGTAATGACACGCAGTGAGGGTAATGACACACAGTGAGGGTAATGACACACAGTGAGGGTGATGACACACAGTGAGGGTAATGACACACAGTGAGGGTAATGACACGCAGTGAGGGTAATGACACACAGTGAGGGTAATGACACACAGTGAGGGTAATGACACACAGTGAGGGTAATGACACACAGTGAGGGTAATGACACACAGCGAGGGTAATGACACACAGTGAGGGTAATGACACACAGTGAGGGTAATGACACAGTGAGGGTAATGACACACAGTGAGGGTAATGACACACAGTGAGGGTAATGACACACAGTGAGGGTAATGACACACAGTGAGGGTAATGACACACAGCGAGGGTAATGACACGCAGCGAGGGTAATGACACACAGTGAAGGTAATGACACACAGTGAGGGTAATGACACGCAGTGAGGGTAATGACACGCAGTGAGGGTAATGACACACAGTGAGGGTAATGACACACAGTGAGGGTGATGACACACAGCGAGGGTGATGACACACAGTGAGGGTAATGACACACAGTGAGGGTAATGACACGCAGTGAGGGTAATGACACGCAGTGAGGGTAATGACACACAGTGAGGGTAATGACACACAGCGAGGGTAATGACACACAGCGAGGGTAATGACACACAGTGAGGGTAATGACACGCAGTGAGGGTAATGACACACAGTGAGGGTAATGACACACAGTGAGGGTAATGACACACAGTGAGGGTAATGACACACAGTGAGGGTAATGACACACAGTGAGGGTAATGACACACAGTGAGGGTAATGACACGCAGTGAGGGTGATGACACGCAGTGAGGGTAATGACACACAGTGAGGGTGATGACACGCAGTGAGGGTAATGACACACAGTGAGAGTAATGACACACAGTGAGGGTAATGACACACAGTGAGGGTGATGACACGCAGTGAGGGTAATGACACACAGTGAGGGTGATGACACACAGTGAGGGTGATGACACGCAGTGAGGGTGATGACACACAGTGAGAGTAATGACACACAGTGAGGGTGATGACACGCAGTGAGGGTGATGACACGCAGTGAGGGTAATGACACACAGTGAGAGTAATGACACACAGT